TTGTGAGAGCTGCCCAGGACTTTTGCCAGTTAGTGGCTCAGCAGCAGAGGAGACCCACAGATTTGGATGTAGATCTGCTAGACGGCTTACTTAGTAAGTCAGGAAGGTTTCCCATTGTGTCTCCCAGAGAACAGAGGAGAGAGAATATTTCGGGTCTTTTCATTCTATACAATCTGATTTACCTGGCCTGCTGGCTCACGCCTTTAATCCCAGCATTCAGGAGGCAGAGGCAGACAGATCTTTGTGGTCCAGGCCAGCTAGCCATGGCTAAATAGTGAGACACCGTTTTGCAGGGAGGCTTTTATTGCTGTACCCCTTACAGTTCTGACAGTTAATGACCCACATGTGAAAATGATTTCACACTATGGAACTTATCCTGGTACTTAAGATGAAGATGTCATAAGATGCTTTGAGTATGTGTGTGGGCACCTGGGCAGCCGTCGGGATAGCTGTCTGGAAGTGCTTCTCTTCTCCGCGGAGTGAGTGTGAGTAGTCACCAGGCTTGCTGGCGGGCACCTTGCCCCACAGACCATCTTGCTGGGTCAAGGAGGGGTTTTTGAGGAACTTTTCTCTTTAATGTGTCGTCCTGGAAGACGGTTTCAGTGTGCTGTCACTCTTTTCTGTTCCTCTGCCACTGCTTGTCCCTTTTGAGTCTACAGCCTTTTACCCATGCCTCTGTTTTGTGTTCACCCTGTTTGCTATGCAGAGAAACCATTGTGTGTGCTGTATGTCACTAAAATACAGCACTACATGTAAGTGCGTGTACGTACACACACACACACACACACACACACACACACACACACACACACACACACACACCCCTCCACCTCACCATACTGCTGGTGAAAGTCTTTGGTTAGTTTTTTCGCTTTGGAGTCCCTTTAGGAACCTTTTGCTCTAACCATGGTTCTTCTTACTAGCATTATCTTTAATATTAAAAAAAGACAATCTTTCTAACAAATTAATGTTCATTGATGGCTTCTGTAACCATGTGATGATATGAAGACACTGACATTTCATTCATTACCATAGAATGTTACTTCCCTTACGTACTAATCATGCATTTGCTGCCTCAGTTTTCCACTTAGCTCTTGATTCTGGTCTTCTGCCCTAACTTGCTACCTACTTTTGTTGACTGCTCACCTCTTACTTTCTGTCACTGGTTAACTGTTTGGGCTCAGGGAGGTGCAGACATTGTAGGACTGTTTCATCAGAGTTACTGAGATAGTGGCCATTTCTTGGACATTTGAAGCCCAATTAGAGAGGAATTTGTGGATATGTCCTAAGTGGTAGCCTGGGGTGGCCTGTAGATGGCCTTCAGGCAGCACGTTGGGGAGTTACTGAAGTGGTGAGCCAAGGGGCTGCAGGGCTTGTTAATTTATAATGAAAATGTTTACAGACTTCAAAAAATTATTTCTTTTTTATTTTATTATTTTTTGAGATTACTATTTCCCCCTCCCCTTTTCTCTCTCTAAATCCTCCGTGTTACCCCTCCACACTCTCTTTTAAATTCATGGGGTTTTGCATCAGTTATTGTTATACATAATCCTTCCACTGTTGTTACAACGCCCCTCTCCTCAGCATGGCCTGCTCAGCTGTGGACTGTTATTTACATGCATGTATTCAGGGCTGACCGTTGGTACTGGGTAAGCAGTTGGTGTGCTTATCCCCGGGGAGACCGTCTCTCCTCTCAGTGGTCCTTCTTGGCTGTAGTTCTTTGTGCAGGCTTGAGCTCATCGGCTCCCCCTGTGCACTTCAGCATGTCTGTTGTCTGTTGTTTGGCTCCTGATCGGGCAGGTGTATTGTTGAGACTGTGTGGATGTAGCTCCTCACATTATTAGAGACACTCTCAACATGTGCTCTCGTCCTTTGCTCTTACACTCTTTGGTGCAGGTTTAAACTTCACTAACCGATAGGATATTACCAAGCGCTCTGAACACCACCACTTCCTTTTCTATTAATCTGTGTTTTGCCACATGGCCTTGGTGTTACCCGCCTGCTGGTGTCTTGTTCTTTGGGCGGCTGGGTGGCATCTGCCTCGACTCCTCCCTTCTTTCTCCCTGTATTCCATTTGACTTTCCCGCCTAGCTACATTCTGCCTGGCTATAGGCCAGATCAACTTTATTTATCAACCAATGAAAGCAACACATATTCACAGCATACAGAAAGACCGTCGTCCCCCAGCACAGCCACACAAAGACAGGCATGCAGGTGGTCACAGTGGTATTATCAAAAGCTACAACAAAATGTCTAGCAGCTGGTGAGTAGATCAAATGAGTTATATCTACAGAACATACAGAACCCAACAAAAGACCAAAGAGTAATGAAGTACTAAGGCATTAAACTTAAACAAACCTCAAAGGTCTTAGCTTATTGGGTGTGGGGGCCCACAGAGGTTTCTCTTTAAGGCTGCTTGATCTCCAGGGAACACTGAAACATTTATATTGCCTAGCCAGGAATTGGTCTTCCAGGTTCCTTAGCTATAAAATACGGGCATGGAATGAAAGGAGGTAGATACTATTCTTCCTTCCTTCTTTTCTTTTTGTTTTTGTTTGAGATAGGGTGTCACTGTGTAGACCAGGCTGGACTCAAACTCACAGAGATCCACCTGCCTTTACCTCCCGAACATTCTTCTGTCTTTTTTTTTTTAAGATTTGTTTTTATTAAAGTTTTTTTTGTTAAAGTTTATTAAGCATTCAGATAAGGCTTCAGATAAGAGAACAGACAAGGAAGCCTAAGAAGTCACCTGATTGATAGATTTTTGCCCTTGTCATGTTTGTGTATAAATGGTACATGTCAATTTGATGTGTGTCTTTATTCCCAAGGTTCACATGGTTTCCCTGATCCTGACTTAGTGTTGAAGTTTGGTCCTGTGGACAGCACATTAGGCTTTCTTCCCTGGCAAATCAGATTGACTGAGATCATGTAAGTAACTGAATGTGTATGGTCTTCTTCTTTGATCCAGCACTGTGCTAGATCTAATGGCAATACCTCAGCCTTCTCTCAGGAGCTTAAGTCTGAGGGCACAGGAAAGGCTGGGATTGTGCAGATGTTTGATATTGACATTAGTTATCTTAGGGGATTGAGAATGAGCATTATCTGAGTGTTGGAGTTGTTGTTCCAAAGAAAAAGTAGGAGTCCACTGAGGCATATGATAGTGAAAGAAGTTCTGTACTGTAGTAACGGTAGGAAGCATAGTGAGAGGGAGGGAAGCAAAGAGAAGATAGGATGTTTAAAGATGCGGGGCGCTGGCCCTGTGGAGTGACAGTGTGAATGAAAGAGGAGGTCCGGGGCTTGCTTCCGAGTCTGCATGGTTTTAATAACAAAATGAGTAGACTGGGAGTGGGAACAGGTTGAACCTGGAAGTAGTACAGGAATGGTGACTTTGGAAGGTTTATTTAGCTGTTATGGCTAGAGTTGGGTTGGAGAAGAGATAAAGTAAAAAGACAATTGAAGGGGCCATACCTATGATTTTGGGATAAGTATAATGAAGGGAATGAAATTATTTACAAAGAACAGGGTTTGTAGACTCTTCCTAAAATGGCCAGGAAATAAATACCTTAGTTAAGTCTTTCAGGTCATGTAGTATCTTTTTCTACTTAACTAAAATTTGCCCAACTCAGCAAGTACAGCTAAATAATCACAGATAACACATGAACAAATAGGTATGACTGTTATTTATAAAAATAAACTGTTAACTTGGGGAGAAGGAACAGGAGGTCAAGGCCAGCCTGGGCTACATAGTGAGTTCTGGACAAGTCTGAGCTACCAAGTGAAACCTTGTCTAACAAACAAACAAAACACATAAGCAAACGACGACAGACTGTTATTTGTTGACCTATGATTTAGAATAAAAAAGAGGTGGTTTTGTTTTGTTGTTTTAATTTTATTTTTCTTAGACATGGTTTCTCTGTAGTCCTGGCTGTCCTGGAACTCACTCTGCAGACCAGGCTGACCTTGGAACTCACCGAGATCCGCCTGCCTCTGGAGTGCTGGGATTAAAGGCACGTGTCACATGCCCATTTAATGTGTTACTTTTTAAAGTGGGGATTTTAGTGTAGAGTTGAGGATTAAATAGCTCAGGTAACAGATACCAAGCACATGACAGGTTGTACATTGTACCTTGTCTACATGTTTGTCCCAGTGCGCATACTTTGTTGAATTTTGTCTGCATTTTTGTTTCCTCCAGCAGACTAAGCATCATGATGTCAGCTAAGGCATCGCAGTCCTAAACTGAGCACGCTAAGAGGCGTTCGCAGTCTCTGAGACACTGAGGGTAGTGCCCAGAGTGCTGAAGACCGGGAGATAGGGCCGTCGATAGAACGTGCAGGGAGACAGGGATGCTGGAGCCTTTGCTCGTTTGTTCGTTTCCATCTATTTATTTTACATCCCTGCCTCAGCCTCCCTCAACAAGGGAAGGTTGGAGTTTTAAGGGGGACAAAAAGCGAATTTTAGGAAGAATACCATTAAGTATTGTTTGAATAGAGATGCTAAGACAAGGTTGGCAGCAGACATTATTTTCATTTGATGTTAAGATTAGAAGGGTAAGTTGGCCACTTCTTCAAAATTCCTGACAGATGGAGGAAAGACAGAGAACCATAGGGTCAGGCAGGAGCTCTTTTGTTGTAGGGCAGTGCGCGTGTGTGTGCGTGTGTGTGTGTGCGTGTGTGTGTGTGTGTGTGTGTGTGTGTGCGTTTTGAATGTGACTGGAACTCTAAAGATTGTGGCTTTTGTAACCTGACTCTGTGTTTGGCCCTTACTGTTTTGAATTTCCAAACCTCATTATTAAGCTGTTTAAAGTTGAGGGCTTTTTCATGTCAGTTTTTGAAAATTGTGTAACGTATTTAAAGGAACCCTCGTTGTGTGTTCATACTGCCTCTCTCCTGCTGTCTTAATGGTGTAAGGCTCCTGTAGAAGTTGGCAGCAGTGGGTTACACATTCATTTATTGCTTGCTCACTGTACTGCTATGTTACTATGTGTGAGTGCCTGGCTTCCACAAACTGTTGACAGTACCGACTTTACTGTGACCACGCAGAGTTCTCAAGTGCATTTGAGTACATTATCAATACATAGATTTTTAACTTTAACATAGGTTTTTATTAATAAATTGTGGCTATTTTTGCTTGAGCTGTCTCACAGTGAGTCTGACTGAAACATTGAGCCTGTTCTGCGCATAAGTGGCCGTTTTCTGCCCCTAACTTCCTTTTGGACATCTGATCTAATTCTCCCTCCTTGTGTTCCCTTTCCAGCTCTTTGCCTTCTCACCTAAACATCAGTTATGAGGACTTTTTCTCCGCCCTTCGTCAGTACGCAGCTTGTGAACAGCGTCTGGGAAAGTAGTGGTTCCTGCTTACATAACATGATTTCAGACTTTTGGAGAAAAGGACCCAATTGACTCTGATGTTTACAAAGTACCTATAAAACCTTGTACACACCTAGTTCATATTCCTCCTAATTTATCAACAAACACAAAAAAGTGTCTTACTTGAGAGTGAATGAGTGTGTGTGTGTGCGCGTGCGTGCGTGCGTGCGTGCACGTGTGTGTAAGGAGATAAATTTATAAATGGGGCACATTGGAGAATGGAGTACACAGTTCAAGCACGTAGGGGCCATGTCTTAGGAACTGAGATTTCTGATGTAAAGGCTTCAGCTCCTGCTACTTCTCTGTTTTTGTGGGGAGTACAGGCAGTGAGTAGAGCTGGCTTAGTTGTTTGTGGTAGGAGGGGATGGTTTTTGTTCAGTCTTTATAGTGACCAAACTTTAATCTCTAAGAATAATATATTGATCTACTAGTGGAAGTATTCTCATTTTGAGGGACATTCGGAGAGTCTGGATTGTTGACATGTTGAAAGTTTGCTCACCTGCAGAGCAAAGGGAACCTCCTCAGTTTTCCGTCCATTTCATTTCATTATAGTGAGCAGTGTGACCTGAGAGTGTTGCTCTGGTGTCTGAGTTGTAAAGATCATTTGAAAAAAAAAAAAAACTTACAATATTGAAGTACAGAATACAAAAAATTTAAATACTGAATTAGGCAGTCAAAAACCAAAAAAGTGAATAAATGATCATCTTAAAGATGGAAAATTTTCTAAGAGGACAGTTTTGATTTCCTTGTGTGAAGAGTACTGTGTTCTATAGTACCCAAAGCATTTATAAAGAAATGTTTCCATTAACTTTTTATTTCAAATAAACATTTGAGAGAAGTTACCAAGGCAGCTCTTTCCCTCAAAAGTAGCCCACCCCTCCCCAGAGTGCTCCTGGGCTTTTCTTTGTCCAGTAAATCTCAGTGACAACCTTGCATATGATTAAGTAGGATGGAGGCCTGTATTACCAAAGTCTGGGGAGCATAATTTACTTGATTCTATGTTCTCTTGAATTCTAGAGAACAGCACTGGTTCTGACAGAATTGAATTCTCGATAGATGTTTAATGTTTTTCCACTGATAATCTCTGGATGGAAAGCATTCTTTATATTTGATGGACAGTTTTCAGAAAACTTCAGTCAACAAGTGTGTACGAGTCATGTACATCCAGAATAGAGCAGTTTAAATGCTAGGCCTCAAAAATCTGAAAAACGGCAAAGACTGTGGGTTTGGAAAGTATGGTCTGGGATTGCCTGTCAGAGTCTGAAGAATCCGTGTTCCAGCTTTGGATTACAAACCCCATTTATGATTTTTAAAACATACTTGAAATAAAATGATTAAAATGAATTTTGGTCCGGTGACATTACTTTGCACTTCAGTTTTTTTGTACAAAATTTTAAAGTCTTAATTTATTGCCAAAATGTTGTGTGACGCTACAGTGTATTTAAAGGTTATTAGAGAATTCCCCCTTTCTGTTCCCTGTACTGTGATCTGTGTTCCTCTGGTTTTATTCCTCCATCGGGGTTGGAGTAATTTAAGGCAGTTGAACACCTATCGTAAATGTGATAGATATAAATACAGACCTTCTGGGGTATGTGCAGCTTTAATGAATTAAATTTATTGGGCTCAAATGAAATAAGGGGATTCAAAGTTGTTAAAATGAAATTTGCTGAATTACCCTCTGGAATAGAGCCAAAATTGCAAAGTGTTGAGTTACTACATTTTCTTTCTTCCATAATATAACACAACAAAACAAATCTGTTGTGGCCTTAGGAAAAATTGCTTAAGCAAATTAAGGGTTTTGAATTTAAATATAGGCATTCAGGAATCTTTTCACTTGAGGTCAACTGCTAGTGCAATCTCTACAACTTGAATAGCACTGGTCACTCTGCAGTTCCTGCCATGGTCATCATCACAAGCTGGATATCATCAAAACGCCCTTTGTACGCCCAAGGAACTCAGTGTCTTCGTGTGTACTAAAGGGTGTTCTCTTTCAGTTGTTTCTCCTTGACACGCTCCGCAATGGCAAGACACCAGGTTGAACCCACTCTACAGATGGCATGGAGCATGTAACCAAGTTGGAGGCATTAAATCCACTTGGAAGTCTGATTGTGGATTGCTCCTTCAAACTGACTGGTTGATGTTTGAAATTTAAAAGCTGATTATAATGTGAATAGCAAATTCTGGTATATTGTGACTAAGGCTTAAGAATGCCTGTTTTTGACAATAGAAATGTTCCATTATTAATGAACAGTGCCAAACACACTGTGCATATCTATAATTTACCATTTGAATGTATGTTAATTAGCTACTCCCTTCTCTGTGATGGTCCCATGCTTAGTGTCAGTGAAGTCCTTGTGGTGTGTGTCATGCCTGTAGATTTTGGCAACATGTAAATAATATGTACAGTAAGTTTTTATGATTAAGGAATCAAATTTATTGAATTTTATTATTGAAAGTTGAAACAAGATGTACGAACAAAAAAATCAATAAAAGAATATACTCTTTTCATGAACTGTAGTAGTATGTGAATGTTACATTTAGTCTATACGGTTAGGGATTCCGAAGTGTAATGAAAAATGTGTGACCAGATAGCAATCCTGCTTTTAGATAGTGTGCTCTTGAACACATTCTCATTTTTACTAGGTTAAATATTTGCAGTCTTATGTTTGCTTTTTATTTAATACTAGAGTAAGGTTCAGCTTTGTCTTGCTGGGATTGTCAAGTTACATAGTAACTAAAAGCTGAATTTTCACCCAACATAGGAATGTTAACTTAAAATATGTAGCTTTTTAAGAAGTACTGAAAGAAAGGTAAGACCTGTGATGTCTTATACAACAGTGTTCCCTTTCTAACTTAAGACCTAATTGTAAGACAGCTTTGTATGCATAGTTTTCATCTCAATCCAGGACTCACCAAAGCTGACACTTTAACTCTTGTTAATAGGAAACGCATTTAACAAAAGTGTAGGTGACCTTGTTGCACAGCGGTAGTGCGTCTGACTTGGAAAATGACTGTGGGATGGTTTGAAGGAAAACCCAGGGCATGTGTTAGCAGTTGCCCTAGATTCTAATCAATATCTGTAAATGATAAAATTTGTGGAAAAGGAGAATGTGAAAAGAATTTTCTTGAGGCTTAGCATTTATTTTAAAGAACAATAAAATTTAAGAAAATAAAAGGATTCAGGGACCAAAAAGGACCCCCATTACATTTTTTTGGTGACGGTCCTTCTAGAACCCTTTCATACTTTTATTTTAAAATGTGATACTATATCGGTCTTAATAAAGAGATTCTTTTTAAACTATACACTTAGAATTTGAGTTTTTCTGTTGAGTAGTTGGTTATTTTGTGCATACAAATAGTAATACCAACCTGTTAGTTTTATTTTAATGAGTAATCTTCGTCCAAAATCTTCATTCATTTTTTTTTTCTTTCCACCCTATAACAATTTAGAGACCAGAAATTTATTTTAGCATCACATATAAATGAGTGCAAAAAATGAAAGGTAATCCCAGGTTCTTTGTTGACCATTCCTTTTCATTAGAACTAATGATTTAAGTTGCTGCTAGGAAGACAAAGTCTGGAGCTTGGGAAAGAGAAGTGAAGAAACAGTTGGAAGATAGGTAAGTCAGCTCAAGTCTGTACAAAATGGGTGTGAGCTCAAGTCTGTAGAAGATGGATAAGTGTGAGCTCAAGTATGCCCATTGTGGTGATGTTGTTCAGTAGCTGTATGGGTTTGGTTGTAGGAGTCTGTTATTTTATAAGTACTCTTTACAGTGTTAGTTAATATGGTGATATTTTATTTGTACTGAAATGTGATTTTATTTGTATGTTAATAAATAAAGTTACCTGGGGGTCAGAGCGAATAACAAGCCATAGCAGAAGCCAGGTGGTGGTGGCGCACACCTTTAATCCTGATCACATGACAGACAGATCTCTGTGTATTCAAGGACACAGCCAGCATGTAGATACACGCCTTTAATCTCAATACCAACCATAGAAGACCTGGAGGTCTGTATAGACAGGCAGTGACGAGGAGGTCATGTGGTTGGGTTTACAACCAATGAGAAGGCGGAACAGAAAGTCAATAAAAAGATGTACACAGGAAGTAGGCCTCTTTTTCAGGGGAAGGACAACAGCGGCAGTGAAGGGTAAGAAAGGTTTTTTTAGTATCAGCTCTTAGCTCTGATCTCTTGGGCTTTTACCTGCATTTGGCTCTGTGTTTCTTATTTAACAAGACGGTTACATTTACAAGTTAAACCTCAGTAACAGCTATACAGGGTTGCATTAAATTTACTCTAGTGAAGAAAAGCGGGGACTAGTAATAGTAACGGTATTGCCTCCAAATTCCCTACCTCTTCCCAGTACCACATCCTCTAATGTAGTTCTGTGCGAGTCAGTTATTCTCGAACTGTTTATACAGCCTATCTGTTGGTAGAGTGCAGCAGCACAGTGATTTGATACGTGTGTACACTGGAATGGCTGAATTAAGCCCCCTGACATGTTCAACCCCCCCACTGTGTGGGTGGGTGGGGGGTGAGAGTAGTAATCTTCAAGAATACAACACTATTAGCCATGCCATATAATAGATTATTTTATTCTTTTTAAAAAACTGGGGGTTTTGCTTCTGTGTCTGTGGACCACATGCATGCCTGGTACCCAAGGAGGCCAAAAGAGGGCATTGAATCCCTCAGGACTAGAGTTAACTATATGTTTGTGAGCTGCCATATGGGTGCTGGGAATGGAATCCAGGTTCTCTGAAAGAGCAGGCAGTGAGTGTTCTTAACTGTGAAGCTATTTCTCCAGCCCCACTTTATTCCTGAAGCTTTGTGTCCTCTGTGTATCTTTCCTACCCCATCCCTCAGCCCACCTGGCTAACCATCACTCTTAATCTTTGCTTCTGTGAGCTCAGCTTTTTATATACTACATGTAAGTGAGATAATGCTGCATTTGTCTTTGTGCCAGATTCATTTGACATAAATGCTCCTATGTAACCCATCATAGCACAAAAAAATAGTACCTTTAAAAAAGACAAGAGGACTGAGTTGTGCATTTATACCACATAGCTGGGTTGGTTATCTGTCTCATTGTGGCTGATGAACATGAACATGCAGATGTTTTAGTTTATTCTTTCCCTTTGATACACACCTTGTGGTGGGATTGCTGAGTCACTACATAATATCTTTGCTTTCATCATGCTTCTACTGACTTATTTTACCACCAACATGCAAGGTTTTCGTTGTCAACATATTAGTCAGCTGTTGGGATTTTCATTTGCATTTGGTTTGCGTATATATTCATCATTCCATCCCCCTCCCTCTATGCCCAAGTGTATGTGTGTGTATGCCTAAATGTGCATGCATGTGGAGGCCAGAGAGAGATGTTGAGAGTCTCCCCCCCAAACCCCCATTGCTTTATAGTCCTTTCCTCTTTGAGACAAGATCCTTCACTGAATCAGAAGCTGGCAATTTCAGCTAGGCGGGCTGTCCAGTAAGCTCTGCCCCCAGTGCTGGGGTTACAAGTATATGAGGCTGTGCCTCTCTTTTAGGTGGGTGGTATGGATTTGAATTGAGGTTCTGTTGCAAGTTCTACCCACTGAGCCGTCTTCCAGTTCCATTTTCTCTTGTCTCTCTGCTGATTGTTTCCTTTAACTGTGCAGATATGTTTTTTGTTTGATGTAACCCAGTGGTTTTGCTTTTCTTGGCAGTGCTTTGGGATCTTACATATAACAAACCTTGTTCAGTGTCATAGGAGCTCTTACATTTTTTTCTAGTTATTTTGCAGTTTCAAGTGTTATGGTTAAGTCGAATCCATTTCGAGTTGAGTTTTGCATGTGGTATGAAGTAGTGCCTAATTTCATTCTTTTGTATGTGGATATCCAGTTTTCACAGTACCATTTATTCAAGATACCATTCTTTCACCCACTGTGTATTCTTGGGCTCCATCATTGAAAACCAACTGCCCATAAGTTTGTGGATTTATTTTTTATTGTATATTTTGTTCCATTGCTCCGTCTGTCCTGTTTTTATTCATTTATATATTTTTTGCCACCACTACACTCTTTTGATTCCTATAGCTTTTTAATATGTTTTGAAATGACTGTGTTGCCTATAGGTATTTTCCTTTTGCTTATGATTGATTGCTTTGGCTATTTTCTTGGTAGTTCCTATATATTTTAGGTTTTTTTTTTTTCTCTGTGCCTGTGAAAAGTGTCAGTGGAATTTTGATACAGATGCATTGAGTTTGCCTATTCCTTCCAGGAATGTGGACATTTTAGCAATGTTAATCACTACAGTCTGCGAACCTTGGTGTCTTGCCATTTATTTGTATCCTTTTTCTTCTTTTATAAATGTTTTGTAGATTCCAGTGTACATGTCTTTTATCTCCTTGATTGAACGTTTTCCCAAGGATTTATTTTTTGTAGTTTTTGAAGTGGGATTGTTTTCTAGATTTTTTTAAACAGCTAATTGTTAGTGTACAGAAACACTGTTAATGCTTTTATGCTGACCTCTATGTACACAGGACAGGGACTTGTCTTGTCTAGGTATCATTTTGTTTAATTGGTGAAAATCTAGAGACTCGTTGTAATCTAATTTGCCAACTTGCACTGTTAGCCTGCATGTTACTAAAGCCAAAACTGTATTTTTTGTTGTTTTTCTTTTTGAGACGGTCTCATTATGGATCACTGGCTGGCTGACCATCTAACTCACAGAGATCTGATTGTCTCTACCTCCTAGGGGCTGGGATTAAAGGCATGGACACAACACCTGTCTCTAACAACTCCTAGTTCCAATTCACACTTCTCTCTGCCTGCAAGTTTTTAAATATTTCTTAGTTTTTTCTTTTTCTTTTTCTTTTTTTTTTGTTTCATTTGTGTTGTATATAGTGTTCTGCCTGCATGTTTGCCTGCAGGCCAGAAGAGGGCACCAGATCTCATTATAAGATGGTTGGGAGCCACCATGTGGTTGCTGGGAACTGAACTCAGGACCTCTGGAAGAGCAGCTAGTGCTGTTAACCTCTGAGCCATCTCTCCAGCCCCATTTCTTAGTTTCTTAAATATTACTTATGTTTATTGGAATTTATTATTGTTTTCCTAGAAGATGAGCCCCAGAGAAGCACTACGATTACGACTTTAACTTTTTTGTGTTGTGGCTGAATTAGAAAAGGGTTTATTTTGTTTACACTTCCATATATCACAGTTCATCATCACAATTAGTCAGGGCAGGAACCTGAAGGCAGGAGCTGATGCAGAGGCCATGGAGGAGTGTTCTTACTGGCCTGCTCCTCCTGACTTGCTCAGCCCATAGAACTCAGGACCACCAGCCCCAGGGTGGCAACACCCACAATGGTCTGGGCCCTTCTACACCAAACACTAATTAAGAAAATGCTCTACAGGCTTGCCTATAGACTGATTTTTATGGAAGCATTTTCTCAATTGAGGTTCTCAGATGACTCTCACTTATGTAGAGTTGACATAAAAACTAGCACACTTACCTAGCCAAAAATAAAATCACC